TGACAAGGGATGTCTCTGATCTGTTGGCTTCATGCCCGCGGTGTGCACAGCGAAAACCACCAGCACGAGAATCAAACCCGCCCTTGCAGTCTATCAGGGTCTCCAGAGTAAACGAACTTGTCGCGCTGGATATTCTGGGCCCATTCCCCGCCACCCCTAGGGAAAATAGATACTTGTTAACCGGGGTCGAGTATTTTACGCGCTGGCCTATGGCCTGGCCCCTGGCCAATCAGTCGGCAGCAGCCATCGTCGACGCCTTTGTCCAAGGCTATGTCATGGACAAAGGTGCCCCGGAGCGGCTGTTGACCGACCAGGGTAGAAATTTTTCCGGAAAACTCCTCCAACAGGTTTGTGAGCTCTTAGGAACGAAAAAGATTCGTACTTCCCCCTATCACCCGCAAACTGACGGGATGGTCGAGCGTCTGCATCGCACCATCTCGTCTATGTTATCACAGCAGGTTTCGGACTCACAGACTGATTGGGACTTGAAAATCCAAGGGGTCTTGGCAGCATACAGGTTGGCCCCCCATGCTGCAACGGGATTTTCGCCATTCTTCCTCATGTATGGGCGCGACCCTGACCCACCCATTCGGGCGCAGCTGCAGATCCCCACACCACTGGGTAAAACAAAATTAATTGACCATGTCAAATTCAACCTTGAAAAATTGACTGAGGCACGGGATGCTGCCATGCTAAATTCAGAACAGCGTCAAAAAGCAAACGAGCGCCTCAGACTGGGTCGCGCGCACGTGCTGCAGTGGAAGCCGGGGGACAGGGCATGGCTGCACTGCCCCCAGGTACCGCTCGCAACATCCCCTAAACTGGCGCGGCCGTGGAGGGGTCCTGTAGAGGTGGTCGAGGTTCTGCGGCCTCAGTGTGTTCGCATCAAATGGGGGAAGCGCCGGTGGTTTGTGCACCCCTCGAGACTAAAACCATTCGTTGCGGTGCGAGGCCCCACTCCACACACGCGTGGCCAAACATGTGGGGGGTCGGCCGACTCAAAGGGTCCGTCCTTACTGCCCTCGCCTGACGTGTCGCCGGCTGTCCCGCCCACAGGTGCACCGGGATTGACGAGCTCGCACCCACCTACCGCTGCGAGGGATGCCGAGGGTCTCGCGACGTCAAACGCGGACTCAATACAGAATGAACAATTGCCACCGGCGGATTCGCCACCCGGGGTTGCCCCGTGTGACGGGCCTGCAGCAAGGACACACGCAAAAATGCGCAGACTCTTATGATGCATTGGAAGAACACTTAATTCTCTTGTGTACGGTTGCGGGGTGCTGCGTCGGTGGGGAGCTCCTACCACATTTTTGTTGTGTTGCATGTGTGCTAGGGGTTCCCTGCTAAACCTGTATATACGTCGCTCTTACGGTATTCGTATTTATTCAGGGGGGGTGCGTCGGATTGTTCCCTTCGGGGTTGTGGGTTTGTTGTTGTTGTTGCTGTTGTTCCCTTCATGTTATCGTTAAAAACGTTTTTTAAGGCACACGGGGGGATCCAGGGGTTAATTAACCTTTATTGAAGTTGTTGCAGCCGGGACGGCTGCGAGCTGTACAGGGGGGGGTGATGTAGGGCTGTTACAGAGGGGCTGTTTGTGTAGGGCTGTTTGCATAGGAGCTAACGGATAACAAACACAGTGGGCGGGGACTCCGTGAGCACACGGGGTGGTGCCCGCAACGACGTCCGCACTGGACGGCGTGAGGGGGGTTTCGATCCTCTAGGGGGGTATAAAAAGGGATGAGCCAGAGAGCTCGGGGTGGAGTCTTAGAGTAGTTAAGGGAAGACGGAAGACCGGCCAGATAGGCCCTGGACTCCCCCTGGGACGCCGCCCTTGTAAGGGCAGCGCAGGCTGGAGCCAGTGGCGTGGTCCCGGAACCAGAGTTAGTCCTCTGGGATTCCGGGTACCGTAGCCCGACTGACCAGTGTCGGGCCAGACAGCCTCCCCTAGCCCGTTAGTGGAGGACTCGGCTAGGAAGGCTAGCTAGAGGTGAATTCCCAGTTATACGGGTGAGGGGGCCGATACATCCCTCCAGTGCTGTACGACATTGTGTAAATAAATACGTGTGCCTTACTACGGTGTCCACGCGTCTTCAAGAGTACTTCACTAGTAAGGAGAAAGCGGCTTGGAACAGCTTTGTGGCAGTTGTTCGTGGCTTCCTGGGCAATCACAAGGTCGAAAGCTATGTGGAGGTGGTTGAGACTCTGGTGAAGAACTACAGCACAATGGGCTGTAGGATGTCCCTCAAAGTCCATATCCTTGATGCTCATCTTGATAAATGCAAGGAGAACATGGGAGCGTACTCGGAGGAGCAAGGCGAGCGCTTCCACCAGGATATACTTCACTTTGAACGCCGCTACCAAAGACAGTATAACGAGAACATGATGGGAGACTACATTTGGGGGCTGATTCGTGAAAGTGATTTACAGTATAATCGTAAATCTCGAAAAACTAGTCACTTCTAAATCTTTTGAGGTATTTTTTGCGTTACTTTAGTATAAATACATGTTAATTATGATTGATATGTTGTTTTCTTCTGACTTTATGTGAACGAAAAGACAAAAATTCGCCTGTTTTCTCTTTGAAAATAGGTAAATTTCTAAATATCACTGCCCTGGTCACAAAAGCAAAGTTTGTGGGGAATAATGGCCATTTTCTATACTTTTTTAGGCATAAGAAATTTGGAAATAACAATTACTACCCAGGAACAAAAATTGTTACGTAATGTTATTTATTCTTTCCCCAAAACATAGAAATGTTAAGAATGATTGGAATCTTTTACTCACAAAGAAGCATGCAATTTGATTTGTCTCCATATAATTGGTATAATATTTTAAATCCACATAATTTGGACCAACTACACTGTTTGATAATTGTTTTTTAACCCTTTCATCTGGAAACAAAACTGACACATTTTTTTACAAGGAGTCATGTTTGTATTGACCACAATACCTGCGGTTGGAATGCAAACAAAAAACATAACTCTGATAATGTATGAACTATCCGTGAAATTGATTGGTCCACACCCGAGACAGTTTTTCTTAGAGCCGAGTCTCACATGGTATTGGACCAGATGACGCCAAAAGGCGCACCAAAAAAACAATTATCATATTGTGCTACTGGCAAAGGAGGTTCCAATGGTGAACTACACAGTTTGTTAAATGCACATTGAACATCTGGTTGCTATTTGTTAAAAGGTTTCTTTTTCACAATATGGCCAAAATATGGACTGGCATAAACAGCCAGGGCGCTAACACTTAATTCTACGAGACTGTTTCTGGGAATTTGACTCACGAACAGAGATTCGAGAAAACAGGCGAAGTCCAGTGTGCTGACCATTACACCACACGGCACCCCACAACAGAATAAGGAAGGCAATTTAGCACATTAAGTTCAAGGAAGCCTTGTGTGTGTTGCTATTATTAGAGCTGCCCTAACTTGTCCTGTTGCGTCACATCTTGCTAGGTTACTTGATTACGTGTTACACTGTTTAAGCTGCCATTGTTCTCATTGTTCTTGACATATAGTTATATAGATAGAGATGTAATAAGGATCCATTGAAAGTATCACCAAAACACATTATGATGTTCCTCTTCTGACAACATAATTGATCACAAATTTAACCCGAAGGTGAGTGTGATTGACCAGATGTCCTATATCATAACTTTTTCAAACCTCACTGTTACAAAAATCATACTTTACCTCCAACAATTTATTATAATTGTTTATAATGAATTATAGTCCTATACACCTATAGTCAAAATAATGTTTTATTAACACCAGGTTAATGCTAATAGTGATCATGCTGTAATAGGAACAAAAATTATTCCAGTTATTAATCCTAAAGAGCTCATTTTCAGAAGGCTCTTGCATTGATATGTTTGTTCATTTCCAATGACGAGTGTTTGGCAGCTTCTCGTAGGAAGAAAGCGGAGTACGGCAAATCCCCATTTAGCGTGCGGTGTTCACACGACAGCTCGTTTTCGCTACAACGTGGTTCGTCCACTCGGGAACAACGCGGAACGCGCACCTTGACAGCGCGGTTCCTGAGTGGTCGATGACGAACTACTTTCTTGAGCGGTAGAGTGATCCAGTACGTTGAATTACACAGTGCAATGATACAGTACGTGTGCGGCATACCCTCCTTTCGGTCATTTGTCCCACCAATGAGATGACTGTCGGCTGAGGTTCCAGTGCAAATGTGATTCAGTACCAGTAGTTCCTCACTTAACGTGGCTTTCGCTCAACGCGGCACTGTTCATGAACGCATCTACCGCGTTAAACGAGGAATTGTCGTACGTGGAGAACATCCTCGCATTGTGAGGGGTCGACACTCAGAACTGCCATCTCCGGAGCGAAATACCGGTCCCCGACATAGAGATGCGGATATGAGCACCACACAAAACGAATTTGAGTATGAAGACACTTTTACTCGATTCACAAACATACATTATTGAGGTCGAAACAATACAAATGCAAATGCACGTGATTGTTTTGCAAGATCATTGGCTGTTATTTACTTCACATTATTTATATTGTATATTGTGTATTAGCTCTTGCTGCTGCTACCGCCTTGTCTGTCTGCGGGCCGAGCCACCCTTGAAAAAGAGATGCATCAGCTCAATGGGTTATCTACTCGGACAAAAAACTTTGGATTCTGAACTTCTGACAATAACGGAGATCTTTCTTGTTGTACAGCAACAACGTGAACAGAATGAATCTCGGCTGGTTCCCGCCTGGCTGTATTCAGCACGGTTATTAATCATGAATCAGCGCCATGCAATTTAGACGGCCAGTTATTCCCGGCAATGAACGCACGTGGCGAAAGTGGTTCATTGCTTCACAGCTCAAAGCAGTCTCGCGTCACGAAGCGACCTTCATTCCGCTGCTACTGCTCTCTGTGCGCACCGTCTGCCGGCACGACCCTCCTGTGGAACGCGCGCACGCGCGCACGCACGCGCGCGGCAGCGCTCCGTTTCACTGAGCCACCAAGTCTCTCCGTCCGTCGTGGCAACAGTTGGCAGAAGAGGCTGGCGAGCTCGCAACGCGCCGTCGCGCGGTCTGGCGCAGCGCAATTAACGCAGCGATGCGTCGGGGTGGCTGATGTCGTTGAGTGCGAGATGAGGTCACCAACCGTCCCGGGATTTATCGGCCGAGTGCGCGTTTGTTTTTTTTGTGTAAAATCAACGGTTGCGCAGTTGCTCACTGAATAGAGCCCCGGTTAAAGCAGGCATTGCTTCAATGCCTCGACTGACACGCACACAAGACACTGAATACGCGAAACAGGACGCATCGCATGCTGCCCAGGATAGTCTGCTGCCTTATAGACAAATGAGCAAGTCCATCTGAGGAATACAATGCAGTTTGGATGGACGCTATATTGTCACAACCATCATCAGCCTCTGCCAATCCACTGCTGGATGAAGGTCTTCCCACGGCGTCGTCAATCCCTCATGGGTGCAGCCGCACGCGAACCGATCGCGTCGCTCCAACTCCGCAGCGATTGCGCTCCAAGAGACTCGTCCACACATTGCGTCTAGATGCCAAGCGCTGTCAGGGAGTCATGAGCGCTCATTACTCTGCAGTCGAGAAGGGAATCGCGGATGAACAATTACGCGTCTTTGCCCCCGGCGACTCTGCTGCTGCAGCTGCTGCTACAGCTGACGATGACACTGCTGCCGCTGATGATGGTGATCAACAGCACGTGCCCAGTGGCCACGTGCTGTCTCGTCTCGGCGTGGCCACGGGTGGAGTGGAGGAGTCGTGCCACCGCTGCCTCCTGCCTCTCGCGCTCGTCCTGCTGCTGGTCGGAGCGGTGGTCACCGCCCTGGCGTGCCACGCGGACGGGCCGTCCTCCGTGATGGGTCTGTTCGGCGTGGCCCTCATGATCCTCGCGGTGTTCATGCTGGCGACGGGAGCAATCAGCTGGTGCTGGCGACGTGGACGCGGCAGAGCTGCTCCGCCAGAGGGGCGACTGGGCCCTGCGCGCTGCTGATGGGTGATCCTGATGGCTGGACAGTCAGTGGTGGTGCCAAGACCACATTCATTGGGGGAGTCCGAAGCAGACCGTTACCTTTGTGGTCCACCCTCCTGTTTAACGAATACATCCCTCGTGAAGCGACAAGAGATACAGACACGGGATCGTCGGTGTAATGAGATCAGAGAAATGTTGACAAATATGCAGATGCAGCGAGATGAGAATTGCAACGCAGACGAGATATGAATCGGCCTTTTTCATCAATTATATTGATATGTTTATCGATGACTTTATTTTTAATTCTAGCTGATATTTGATGCTTCAGCCCCGCGTCGACCGCTCGCCTCATCTCTGACTCTCGTGCGAGGTGAATGCGGGAGGTGAGGGGCACGAGGTGGCCAAGCGATTGGGGATATTTACGCGTGGTCGGAGGTAGACCGATAAGAGAGGTGAGTAGGTTTGGGCAGGACACGTCACTAGAACGGATGTTGATGATGATGATGATAATCGATTATCGATAATTATTACAATGGCACTTATCAGCGTGGGGAAGTATGGCCAAATAACCACCATGATCTGTAAGGCGTGAAGAGGCACTCGAACATTCGGGGATGGACAAGATAATGATGGTTAATGAGGTTGTGCCATGGGGCGTGTGTTTAATTGCTCTGTGTACGTGCAGTATGTCAATGCGATGTGTTAATACAATGCTCGGTGGGTTACTGAGGTAGTGAACCGTGGAATGTGCAGTCCCTCGTTTCTTAATGGTCTCATGCAACGTGTGCATGATTATGAATATGTTAACATGGCAGAGGTGCAGCCCTGCAATTTCACGCTCACGCCGCTGCTGGTGAAAGTACATCAGCGATGCATCACGTACACAATTGAACTTGAAGAACATTTACTTCAGTCGGATGGTAAGCGGCTTTCATTCTCTATCTTGAAGAGTTGTGTCCGAAACTTGTAATACAGAGGCTTAAAGTGAATTGCAGGGGTTCATGTTTCCCTGCAAACATTACAATAAATGTGTTGTTAAAGACGGTACAACGTCGTATATCCAACTGCCTGAGGACTTATGTATAGGCGGATATATTAACAAGGTCGGATGTGTGAACATCTGTAGAAAATGACATTCACTCCATGTGTACATTGTGAACTGTGTTTTTGGTTGATTTATAAGTGATGACGTGAAAAGATGTATGTATACCGAAGTGCATTCCAATTTTAAAGACGAGTTTAATATCCTCGGCGAAGAAAGACAATACATTGGTACTGTATTTTGTAAATAATCAAGTGGTTTCAATTATGTGCAGAAGATTTCAGGTCGTGTATCCCTATAGCTCAGAAGATATTTTTGGGGACTTTATTGAGATCCGGAATGATAAAGCTTTTTGTATGTTATCACTGAAAACATAAAAGGCGTTCAGAGTGAAGCTGTCATTTGTTTTGTTGTGAAATATCCACAGTCCGCTGTGCATACTCTAATTCCTGAGGTCACTTATTTGTGCCTGCATGGTTATTGTGGTAAACAATGACAATACACTGAGTACATTGGTAATGGGGAAACAATTGAGTACACGCAGGTATTGATATCTTGAAAGCTCATTAAACTACCTTTGTACCCTTGACTTTGCTTGTTGTATTCTGCCGTGCATTTTCTTGGTAGTAAAGCTACTTGGATGTGGGTTCTAGCCAGAGGTGCAGCCACTGTGGGGGTCCAACCAACCCCACAATGTTAAGATAGGGCTAAGAGACACCCATAAAATGTTGTGCCCTTGGTCAGCACACACACATGGGCAACAGTCAGCTCTCACACAGCGCATACATATTCACTTACAGGAAACCAACCACTTTTAAATTGTGGTTGTGCACTTGATTCTGAAATTTTACAATCTGACCGTGCGACATTAATAATGTGAATACAACTGTCATTTTCCTTGTTAACCATTCATAATCCCTTGCATTCATTTCATGTTGCAACGCATAACGTCTTTCTCATTGCAAATACTAATTAAGTGGCACATAACAGAGATTCCAAGACATTTCCTTCCTGTGACTCAGCCACCTGCCAGAGCAATTGAAAAGACGAACACCCCCCGAAGTTATTTAACCAGGACAGGTTGCAATTCAGGTTAGATCCGGACAGGCTGCGAATTGGCTTCCGTGTTTGGGTGCAGGACTTGATGTGTGCATTGATCTGGTACAGGCAGTGTGTTGAACTTTATTGCAGTAAACTGCACGGTTCTGATATATTTAGGCTGATGGAGAAATATATCTGGGTTTTGGTGTACAGTGGGAAAGGTGGTAACCCGAATAGAAAAGCAATGAAATTCGTACTTTTATTTTAAACCAAATCACCGGCGTTCAACTCGGGAAAAACAAGTACCAGATGCACAATTTATATAATGGCATGGCCTGCCCAAAGTGATTCTGAATCACGACTCTAGCACAAATTATCTTGCTGAAGCATTGTTAAAAGCCAGACGATGAAATTGCATACCTTGCGAGGTTTTCATTTTACATGCGCATATATATTTCCAAATTGAAATGACATGCCTCGTGTTCGGTCATATTATGCATAAGCATGGCCTTTAAACACTTGATCTCATTTTAGTTTCTATTGCCACGTTAATTTACCTCGACAACAACACGTGCATTTTAATCTATTGCATAAACATTCCATATGTGAACAGTCGGCCTAGCTTCTCCTCCGATATAGAGTTACGAATCACAATTATTGGAAAATAATCCGGTGTTTAAGCTTGCATTCCCTCCGGAGGCCGCAGCCCATACAAGATGTATGAATACGAAGGCGCAATCGGTAGGGATTTGAAATTCACCCGATTCCTCTGTGAAGAGGCTTTGGAAACCAGGAGCTGAATTTAAAGCAGATTTCAATCCTTCAGCACGGCAAAGAATGTCATGCTCGAGACAGCTCGCGCCTGGAATTTCCAGTTAATACCCTTTGAAAAATGCAATGACTGTCTCTTACAATAGGCAACTATCACCATCAACTAATGTACAATGCTTTACATCAGATTGTCTAGGGATTGCCTATAATTGTGAATAATTGCCATTTAAACAATGAATCAATAAAACGCTGTAAGTGAATGCTTTACCATCAGAGGTCGTATCACTGGGCAAAGTTTACATCCCGCTGTCGGTTTAATCACAATTTCTGCAGGGAACACAATCTTCATTTTTACATGCAATTACAGGTGTCAATCTACCTCTCAATGCTTATTTGCACACCTTTTAGCCTTTAATCCATTTTCGTCGTCAGTGGTTATGTTTCTGATCAACGTGTCGTGGCTTGTCATATGCAGTGGTTGAAAACATTCATAGGAATGTGCATTTCAAAATATCGATTTGCGATTGTCCTTACTGAGTCGTATGTCTTCCCAGGATCCTGCTAGAAATGTGCAATCAGTTATCGTTTATATATGTTTTTGAACTGCAGGAAATAAAAACACCGGGGAAATAATGGGATAACCTCAAATCACCATTCATATATGCCAACAATCTGCTTGTTGTTATGCTTGCTATCGCTACCACTTTGCACCTCGTGTCAATGTCTCATCAATCACAACTTTCAAGATTCTGGATTACAGTGGTGCACAGCCAAATGTGATACGTGGATTAGGCTTCAGCTGGGACAAATGGCTTGCATTGAAGCAGCTATGAAAAGACTGCCTAGCCCATACACATTTCATATCTGCAGGAAACTTAATAATAACCTGACAGTGCGTACATAGTTGCAGCTTCAAATGTCGCGCTGCAATTTATTTTCTCATGCTACTGCTGATGGAAGGGCCTCCACTAGAGGAAGCTCTAGAGGCCCTACAGATAGTATTTGGCAGAGGTGGGACAAAGTCATTGTTATGCAAGTCCAAGTCGAGTCTGAAGTCATCAAATTCATGACTCGAGTCTGACTCGAGTCCAAGTCACATGACTCGAGTCCACACCTCTGGTATTTGGCCTGCCCCACCTTACGCAATCAGCCAAGCGAATAAACGTGGGTGAACCCACTCATCCTGCTGGGTGGACGGAGATGGCAGCGGGATTTAAGGAACTTGCGTATCGTTTTAACTGGAGGAGAGCCAACCGGGTGACCTCTGGATTGACAAGTACGGTGTGTTAATCATTGCACCACTGCAGTATCCCTAGGGTATATACAATTATGCTTTCATAAAATCTGCATAAGCCGTGCGTTATCCTCTATTGCATTTGCCCACTGTGAGTACAGTGGGTGGTGTTTTTTGTGGGTTTTTGTCCCAATTTAACAATACACCACAGCTGTTTTACAAAATAGGCCATTTTGCTCGTCTCTGTTCATTCATTTTCAATCTTTTATTATTATTCATACCCCCTATGATTCGACATTTAAAAGAGGAGAAAAAAAACCACCAGATGTATCCATCTAAAAGAATTGCAGATTAAGGTTAGGTTCACAAAATATCTGTCGGCAAGATTGCTTTAAAATGTGACATCAAAAAGAATGTTTTGCATGAAGTGTTCTAAATATATGGACTAAAGCAAAGCGTAAGACTGAAAATATTGAGAGGCACATAATTATAAATGCTGCATATATATTTTTACAACGATACTCTTTGTTTTTAAATCCTTTATATTAAGTTCGCTTGCTTGCTTGCTTGAGTGCTTGCTTGCTTAGGACCGTGCAAATCTTTCGGTCGTTTTTTAACCCACTTCCCGTGATCCAATCGAGCTGACATTTTCCACACAGACTCGTTGTGCGTGACAATTAATTTTCGTGAAATTTTATTTCCAAAATTTTACACTGTTTAGGGGAAAAAAATTAAATATTTAATTACCAATTGCTTAATGCTGGCAGACAATCATCTGACCCATAGGTGGCAGCCATCTCAAGCCAGAGGAAGAGAGGACTCTAGCCGCCACGCATATAAAGGATTTAGAGTGAAAAACTTTGTTTTTACGGGTTAATTTTTTTTCGGGAAAGTCACGTAGGTAAAAAAAAACAAAAAGTATAAATCCTTGCAGTCACGAAAGCCTAAAATCTAGAATTTTACAACTGTGGCAATGTTACATTATCCTCTTAATTTTAGCATTTTACATATAACTATTTATATTTTGTATATACCAAACCAAACCAAGCTTCAGTGAACATTTGAATTGAAGCCCTCTCCACCCAATTCATCGTTATTCACCGGGTTTGTAGATTGTTTTACGTATAACCTTGTCATGCTGCCTATAATGTTTTATAGAAGGAAAAAAATAAACATCAAAAAGCCTGCATACTGTTTATATAAGAGAGAAGACATCCAATGTAGCCCAAGAGAGCGATACACAATGTTATCATGGGTAATATGTCTGCATGCGGTGTCAATATGGGAATAACGTGGCATTTGGAAACTGAGCAATGATGTAGGCGAAATTCCACCTCTGCCAATGTTGAGTTGCACAAATGACATGTATTGGTGACGACTTATATAACACCCCATCCACTTGACATAAGCAATCAATGTCACAGGGAGAAAGTTATTGAGGAAGTTGTCCTTGGGTTTTGTCATTTCCCCGTTAAAAGTATGATTTGGAGGTTGATGTTTTTAGACGTTCGGTTCAGGCATTGCGTTATCGATGGTGGTGATGTGAGCACGTAAATGGATATAACTGCTTTGAGCGCATTCACTGAACTGGAGTGGGTTGCAACTGCATTGTGCCTGTTAGGCCATTGTCCCATTGGGTAGTCACATCAGCAGGTTATTGTGATTCCTAATATATATAGCTCATATTATTGATGTGACACAATATGGTATAAATGTATTGAGCAGGCGGTTGGAAATGATGCCATACAATAGTAGGCTAGAAAAGCCTGCAATAACAAAGAATTGTATGGCCAATAACCTATAGCCATGTCATCAATGTGCTGTTATATTATTTAACAATGGAAGCGCCACGAATGTATATTTACGATTGAATGCATAGGACAAGCTGTTCTTTTTTCCAATTCCTACCAAACTCATCTTGCTCTCTATCCACTCCGAAGCAAATAAAAGTTTATTTTGACATTTAATCGCTCATTTGACAGAACCACTCATATCTCTAAAGTGGCACAGAACCACTCATATCTCTAAAAAGTCACAACGTTGAAGACACTTCGCTTAATTCATAACAATATTCGCACTGTCAAGCATGTCTCATTGTACGTGTGTACATTTTTTTGCATGCCTTCGGTGACGCACACTATATTGTGCATTAAATGGTCAAACGTTGGCCAGTGCAATGTATTTGCATGTGATCAACTCAATTGCCCCGTTCTCATCAGAGCTGAGAAGCCTAAGCAGAGATGGGCCTGGATAGTGTGTGGGTAGGTGGCCATCATGCATTCAAGACGGGTGTGATGGGTGTTGCGCTCGGTCGAGGGCAGCGCAGCAACATCCACCGCTGCTCCACGTTCGCCGATCCTCAGTCCAGCGTGGTGAAGCATGGTCAAATATTCCTCATGGCCCTCGCAAGGTGTGGGGAGGCCATCATCCAGCAGTGGAATGAAAACATGGGCTCTGCATTGTATAAATATGACGGGTACCTGGTGAAGGGA